TTTTTTTTTTTTTTTTTTTTTTTTTTTTTTTTTTTGGGATAGTTTTCTCCTTTGGCTTTATCCAACTTCCGCGGCTTTATTTCGGCAGAAAGCCCTGCCTGGGTAACTCCAGCTCGTTAAACCGGGAGCGTTCAGACCGGAGCGAGCGGTAGCGCTGGAATGACGCCGCTCTCTRCGGGAACCTTGCCGCCGGTGGGATGCCCGATCCCAGCGCGGACTTTTTGGGGCGAACCGGGGCAGGACGAGGCCGTGGCAGCTCGGCCGGGCGGCGGCGGCTCCYCGTATCTCCTTCCTCTGCTGCTTTTCTGCAGAGATGTGAAGAAATGATAAAGTGGGAGGCTGATCTCAGGCCGCCGGCGATGGCCAAAACTGATTAAAAGCTGAGAGCTTGGAAGCCTTCCTGTATGTGTCAACATGAAAACAGTCATTAGAGGCGGCGAGCGCSGCGAGAGCGCCCTGCCGCTGCTCCATCAGGGAAGGTATGCATGAATCAGGGCTCCGGTAACCAGACTCCTCTCATGTACAGACCGGACCTGTTTCCACAAAGTCTATCCTCCTTATCATCTCGGCTGGAGCATTAAAAACCTCCTCCAGATTGGTATCTGCTGATTTTATTTTCCTGGGTGACGCGATGTTCTCGCTCTGGCTTCGCCTTCTCTTGTGGGGTTGGGGTTTTGTTGTTTTTTTTTTTGAAGCCCGATGCGAGGCGCAGATTAAGGCTCGCGGGGAGATCGCCGGGAGAGCGGGCGATYGCCAGCAGAGATAAGACAAAGATCAGACACCGGACTATATTTAACCAGCTGCTTTAACCTTCCTCTTCTTCTTGCCTTTCCGGGTGCGGGGCTGGAGGGTCCGGGGGTGCCGCTCCCTCCGACCCCCCCGCGGCAGCGGTGGCACGCGGTGGGGAGGCTTTGAAAGCCGATTGCATCGCGATGGTGGCTTTTGATAGCGGAGAAAACACCCCGAGCMTCTCTTCCTTTCATTTTTGGGGGTTCCTGCCCACAGAGGACAGTTTCTTTCCATCCCTGCCTGTTCCACCAACCTCCCTGCAGCTGCTGCTGCTTTATGGGGTGGTTTATTTTTTTTTTTTTCTCTCTCTTTTTTTTTTTTTTTTTTTTTTTTGTGTCTGTCTTTTGTTCTGCTGGTAGATAGATGTGAGGGGCTGATAGGGAGCAGGAGCTGATCTCCAACCCAGATAGCCTGTTATATTTATTAACTTCAAACATGGGAGCGCGGGCGCCCAGCTGATGAGCGAGGCTCTGGCAGCTGCCGGTGCTTTCGCAGCGCCGGGTCCTGCGATGGGGGAGCCTGATAAGCGAGAGATTGATCTCATCGTGCTGATGTGCCTCCCCCTCCCTTGTTCTTTCAATACAGATTTTTTTTTTTTTTTTTTTTTTTTTTTTTTTTTTTTTTTTTTTTTTATGGTGCTTTTCTTTCCTTTTGCCTTTTTATTCTGCGCTCAGCTACAGTAAGATCTGAGCTCCTGATAAGCGCCGAGCCCCGATCTCCATCCTGATAGAGATTGCCAGGCTTGATAAGGACCACTTATCTCTCCCCACCAGACCGGAGCAGGATTCGCTGCAATAACAAACACGGCAAAGAGGGGCAAAAGGGCTCCAACAATTTGTTCCATTGCAAATGTGATTAACGCAGGCACTTTAATTATCTGATGGGGGGGCAGCTGCATGTGTGTTTTTATTTTTCAAGGTGCTGGAGTGGCTTTTCCCCCCCTCCACGTGCTCGGTGAAACGAGCTGGGTTGAGAAGCCGAGCTCTCCCCAGCGCCTGTTATCGGCTGCAGATGTTGCATTAGTTTGATGAGAGCTTTGACTTTTCTTTTTTTTTTTTTTTGATGATTATCTCCCATTCTGCTCCGCCGAGCGAACGCATGGGCTGGAGGAGGGGGGAGGTGAAAACACCGTCATATTTTTGCGTGCGGATTTTCTTTAATTGCCATTAGATGGTGTCAGATAGCGAGTGCGATCCGCGCTGTTAAAGCCGCCGTCTCTTGATGGGGCGTGTTGGGCTGGGCGGTTTTCTTTTTTTTTTTTTATTTTTTCCTTTCCTCCTGCGCTCTCGGCTGCTCCCCGGCCCCGAGTGGGCTCGGTGGCAGTGCCGGGGTCGTGGAGCCGGGCAGGGGGTGCCGGGCAGGTTCATCCTTCCCCGGAGCTTGGAAAATTGCATTTCTTGTAAAGATGACAGTGGCCAACCCAGCGTCTATTTTTAGCGGCGGCATGGTGAGCCGGTGGCGTGGGATGCTCCCGGCACGCCTCCTGCCCGCTCCTTCCCGCTGCCTTCCCTCCCKGAGTCGCTCCTTCCCTTTCAGGTGACTCTGGTTCAACCTCCTCTGCTCGCTGCTGCTTCGTGCCTGTTTTTCCCCCCAGCGCTCCGATGCTGCTGCACTTTTCCATCCCCGCCACCTCCGTGCCTCAGTTTCCCCATCCGCGCCTGCGGGCCGGGGTGGGCGGGGGGTATTTGGGGAGGTGTTACCGCGGGTTTGCTCCCGGGATCAGCCGGGTGCCGGTCCCGGCTCTGCTCCTAAAACCGGAATTTTCTGCTCCTTCAGCCTGGTGTGTCCCCCCYGTACCCCACTCGTGGCATCCCGAGGGTGGCATCCCTGTGTCCCACATGTCTGCAACTCCCACGGACGCTGCCTGCCTGCCAACCCCTCCCGTCTTGTGCAAACACCCCCGGGCATTTGCCAGCCCTGGCGCGGTGGCATCCGAGCCAGCGGCGGCTCTGCAGAGCTGGCAGGGTGCAGGTGACAAAGCCCTGTGGCACCGCTGCCCCCGCAGTGGCTCTGCCCATCCTCGGGGTGTGCCATGGGTGACACGGGGGGCTCCCAGGGTTGGTCCCCACGGGTGGGATGGGGTGGAGGAGTGACCATGGCTGGGATACTGGTGGGATGCACCCAGCAGAGCCCTCCGTGGGCAGCTCTCCCAGCCATCCCCAGCCGTTTCCCACCATGGATGGTCCCATTCCTGTTCTCTGGAGGGTCTGCACCAGCCTCAGGTGATGCTGGAAGAAGTTTCCCTCCTYTTGCACAGCCAGCTCGAGGTGTGAGCATCCCTTCAGGCCGCAGGGTTGGCAGAAGGGTTGGCATCATGTGTGGCAGCTGAGGGGACAGCTCAGAGCAGGGAATCCCTTCACTGTGGATGATGGATGAATAGCCCTGGTGACCAGTGCCACCAGCCCCGTGGGASACTYYRTGGCTGTTCCATGTGGGTGYTTCCCTCGATGCCAGGAAACCCCAYAAGCCCATTTGGGGACCACGCTCGGGGTACATCCCAGGATGGCTCTGCCCAGCYATCCCATCTCCGTGGCGGGCAGGGGGGATGCAGGGGATGCTCAGGGAGCGTGGGACCAGCAATGGCACCCACGAGCATCGAGCATGGCCAAACCAGCTCTGCCAAGAACCCGGCACTCATCACTGCCGGGGCCGGAGCTGGAGCCGCGCTGGCGAGGGAGGCTCTGCCAGGTGGCCACTTCCAGGGCCCGTGGGTGCCAGGGCTGGGCCAGTTCGTGTTTGCCACC